GAGAGTAAATCAAAACAATTGTTATATACATTATTATTTCCTTGCCCTCAAAAGAGGAAAGGTTCAAAAAGCTCTGCTCAGGAGTAAAGTCATCATACTAATACTCTGGAAGTCACTTTTAAGGTACTGACACTCTCCAATAGTACTGTGCTCCCTTAAGCTGTTCTGAGCGATCCAGTTTCCTCCTCTTGAAGAGGACAGGTCTTCAGGAGGTGAACGAACCTAGGTTGTGAGTTTCCAGCTTCTAGGAGGATGTACAGCAGGAGAACTTGTGAGGAAAATGTGGGATGTGAGGTGACACACTTGTGTAATTCAAGTTGACCTCCGCAGAGGTCCCAAAGCTCATTTTGTCCTGGATGAATAGTAGCATTTTCCATATATTTTCTGGGAAAGGACAAACTTCCCTCCTGATAGCAGAACCCCGAGACTGGTATCTCCTCACCCCATGGATACCAACTCCAAAAGGAAACGATGGGGAATCTCTTTCTCACCGTTGAGTCTCAGCCACCTTCAACGACAACATCCGTGAGAAGACCCCAAGCTGGTTTGAGCTAGAGAAATGCTTGATGAAATCACCTTTAATTACCAGTAGCAAAGACGAAGAGGCTCATTAGGTCTGTACGTTAATTCACAAAGCCGCCCAACGTCCAATCAATGCCTTCTTTCCCTCTGAGACGTCTAATGACTAGAATCCATCCCACAAAGAGGTGCTAGTAAGAGTAGGCAAAGGTCCATTTCTCGGATTGGCCATGTGCCAAGTGGAGCCTCTGCCTTCCCCATCATAACCCTCCCGTGTCACAAAGGGTGTACTGTAACCTAGAAAATTTACTCATAGATTTATGGTAGGAAATCTGCAGTGTTCGGACAAACAATGAGGAAAAGATCTCTGATTTTGTTTCCGATTCATAGCAATTACTATAAAAATTTATGAAAACGGCCAAGATGATTCATAACAATTTGTAGTAGGTATCGTCCCAATGGGAAGAAAATTGAAGCTAAAATTGGCTGATTGGCAATCAGGTAGTATTCCCAGGAGGCGGAAAGAACTGTTTTCACCAGTAATCTATTCGATGTTTTCGAATACATTACTTCCTTGCTACGTTTATATGTAGCTGAAAACAAACATGAATGGAAATTCAATGCAGATCCAAATTCCTACCGTAATCCCATTGCGCCTACCCAGCAATCAGTAAAAGCTATTTTATTACGGACAGTAATGGTGTAGCGGTAAGTGGTGCTCTATCATACACGGATGGTCCGAGGATGGAATCCTGGCTCAAATCAGTCCATCCTTTCAAGGTCATCTAATTGGTACCAGACTCGTCTGGGAGGACAGGACCACTGGCTTGTTCATCGGCTGGCTACCGCAAATCATTGCATGNTGCGCCTATCCAGCAATTAATACAAGCTATTTTATTACTGACAGTGGTGGTGTAGCGGCAAGTAGGGTTCTATCATACACGGATGGTCCGAAGATGGAATCCTGGCTCATATCCTTTTCGAGGTCATCTAATTGGTACCAGACTCGTCTGGGAGGACAGGACCACTGGCTTGTTCATCGGCTGGCTACCGCAAATCATTGCATGGGACATAGAGGCATCCAAAACGCCACTAGGGTTCTCAATGGAAGTCGGATGAGGGGTGCATCCCTCAGGAGGGAATAATGGACGCTCAGAGACTTCATCAATATGTATTTCACTACATTTAACAAAAACGGCTCTTATTTTTTCAACTGCGATACATTCGTGTTTCCATTGAAAAAATGAAGGGCACTCTCTATTGACAATCCGCTTGGCCACTTTGAAAGGAACCTTTTCGGAGAATCGTCTCTGTTGACCGCCAGTACTCGACTTGATGAATAGACTCAAAGCTAAGTGGAACAAGTAGCCATTCCGACGGCTATTGTCAAAGTGCTGACATAAATACAAGTATCTGCAGCTATTCAGACCCCTCGAAAAAGAACCGCCATTCTTGACAATGTTACTGAGTAAGAAAATGAATGGTGAAGGACAGCATCCGTCTAGTTATGCATGAAAGTGATGGAGCCGAGGAATTCCTCGAATGTCCCTTTTCATGGCCAAGAATCCAGCTCAGAAACATTCACCAGCTATTTCTTCAGGGACCATAAACGTTACCGTAAAAAGTTATGCTCCGATACCTAACACCAATTTGATTAACTGAAAGGTATTAGCCCGTAAAGTACCAGATGGGCGATATAGGTGACTCAGTAAATGGCCCAAGGTGAGGTGATCAATTGAATTAGGCTATTGGTACTAAAAAGTTTACTTGAAGGCTTTTCATGGTATTTCATGGGTTATGAGCCATTGGCCATAAGTTTCTGGGAAGCTAGGTAGCCTGAGAAAGCGTCCGTTCGGAATAGCCTAAGAATTTTAATGGGTCAGCGCTGGGGCTTCTCTAGATGGGACGATTTTTGCTCCAAAACTCCAAGTTCATGCCTACAAACAGTTCTGTTCCCTCCGCCCTCTTCCCCAACCTCTCAGAAGTAGAGAGTTTTGCTGAACAAATCACAATTCCTTTGCCACAGGGTATGTGGGGCGGATGCCGTTGCCCTTTAAGGAGCTGGCTGGTGGTGCTCTGAGATTTCCCAGATTAGGAGATTCTCCCAGTCGAACTACCTAGCACTCCCCCTCAAGATGAGCCAGTGTCAACAGCGAAAATCCATTCCGTTATGATCCACGAAAGGCTTCTTCTATCCGACGCTATGAGGGGGGCCGCGTCTTCGAAACGAAATTAGAAGAAGCGTAATGCAATAGAGAGCCCCACTCAAAGCCCCTTTACAGCGGCCACCTGATTTCCTTCACATCCCTTTCGTCCGTGCCCTCCCTCCATCCAATCGTCCACGGTTCCACAATTTTCCCTCGTCGTCTACCACAAGTTCCACCAGTTTCTGCTCCACTGAGTCGGAAACGTACGTAAATTCCCTCACTCGACGGAAACACACGGGGTTTTGCTCACATATGACATTAAAAGCATTCACTACAATGAAGTTTGGCAAATTCTGTAAAAGTAGAGACCCTTAGGGAGGGAATCACGTTTTTGTTCAGACAATCGGCCTCGAGAATCTTCGGAGTCCTTGTGCCCTTAGAATCTTGAAATGGATCTCGCTCAAAAGCCAAACAGGCCTCTCATCGCAGCAGAATCGGATGAAAGCCATCAGAAGAGATTGAAGAACGAAGGTGTTGACTGAGGGCCATCAAAACAAAAAGGTCTCTACCATTCTGGATTAAAATGCGTGGAACAAGAATGGCCAAAGCCAAGCTTCTATTGCTCTTGACTGTGACTCTTTTGAAGTAGAACATCCAGGTTGGTTGGCTACCAGAATGTCTGCCAGATGGCCTCAGACCAGGAATTTCAGATGTGGTCCAGCGTCAAGTAGAATAGCCCCCATCGGATCTCAATAGCCCAACCGAAAATCGAATTTCGGCCATTCCATGGAGGCTGTTTTCCTCCCTGCTCCCATGGTTGTTTAATTTTCGCACATAAAGGGCCGTAAGAGGGTGATCCAACGGAATCGTCAAGAGCTTAACGACCTGAATATCCTTCAAGATGTGACTGCAGCAGGTGCTCCATCTAAGTAGTTTTTACAGCCCAAGGGATATGCTCCCATGTGCTTCCCCGCTTCTGCGGGTGGGCTCCCATGCTTCTACGGTCGAACTGATTCAGTAGAACTCAGACGGACAGGTAAAAAAAGCACCCAAAGGAACTCGATTGGCTCTTGATAATCTTAGATAAGCTTGAAAGCCCTACTAAAGTACCTCTTTAACTATGCAGAGCAGTAAAATTCATGGAGCGCCCTCAGAAGAACGACTTTGGAGGTGGGCTCTTGAGACTTTTTCCTCCCGTTGAAGGGCACAAGCCCAATTTTCCTCTATAACACTTGGCTTCTTTTGAGGCCGCACTTTCCTGCATAAGTAGCTTTTTTATAAGAACTAACTCAGGAGAGGCTGCAGATTTGGATCAAATAGAGCCAGCCTCGTTCTGTAGGGGGTTTTCCAAGCGAAATGGTTGTACGGACATAACTCGAATTGTGCGTTGCCCATGGCATCGCAAGCACGATTAACTCAAGACGCAGAGGGGGGAATGTGGGAAGGCCGCTGAGCCATGGAAGCTGCCTGTTAGCAATGAGGAGAATGAGGACAGAACATTAAGATTGAATGTGGGAGGATTAACAATTCAAAGATAAGCCATGCATCTTAACCAGGCAATGGATCTTCGTTGGTAAAGACAGACCAGTTGAGAAAACTTACTTTCGCAGCACTTTGATTTCATTTTCCAACGAATCCTCTTTTCCTTTCAGCGCTTTTTTATCGATACATTTCACCGCCACCATATGGCCAGGCTCTTGCTTACATTCGGCGAGAAAGACCTAAATCGAAAAAAATTGGAAAAAAATCAAAGTATCTCTCGACGGGTAATCAAATTGTGGTCNAGCTTGGTCATTCTGGGTCCGCTTTAATGAAGGGTTCCTGACCGAGAAAGGCTCGTAACAGCTCAAGATCCCCAGATTCCTCAGTTGGTGGCATCATGGAGGCTTGGAGGGGGAGAGTTCAGTTCCGGCAGAGATCCCAGTGTTGAAGAGAATCAGTCAGGGCGCGTGCTGAGCTTGGCCATTACAAATTCATCAAAAACATGGTCAAGGCGGGAAGGTATGGGGTATCTTATCAGGGTAAAGTCAAAGTAGTAAAGTAAACAAAAGGTAAAACAGGCTCTAGGACTCGGAAGGTATCAGAAATCTATGAAAAAGTGGAAGTAAATTGGCGAACCTTTGAAAACGCTCCAGTGCCGAGAACATCGCGAAATTCGTAGCGCTCACGGATGGAGCAGCCTTCGCGGCGCTTGAACAACGGCATCTGAGCACGGACATCGATTTCCATCCACCGCAACCACACCACACACAGACACACACACTCTCGGCTCGCTGCTGCTGACTGCTGCTCGACGGCCTCCACATCCATGCTTGCCGTCGCTGCGGCCGCCGTCGGCTCGACGTCCCCTGCCTTCCCCGGTCAGCTCACCAGCGCTTATCACTCACTCACATATATGCACAAACATACACACTCACACACGCATACATACATACTGAACGACTCATCTCGAGTGCCCGGACCTGGGAAGCCATCACATCTTCGTTATGTTGCCAGAGGGCTTCCTGGACTGGTATGGGAGAGGGAAACAGTCTGTTGATTAGCTGGCCTTCCTTTCAATGCCCACAGCTGTAGCTGCATCTCATCAGGAAAATCATGGTTAATCTTCTTTGTGGAATCGCTAAGCGCCTTTAGCCAAGCTATACGTGGAACCTTCGATTTGCAAGCATCCGCTTTGATTGGTTTAGGAAGCTCAAGGGAATAGTCCCCTCTAGCCATTCGGCCTCTCTCACGATGGTTTGTTCTGTTGCCATAGATCTGGCAACAGAACAAACCATCGGTAGAAAGGCCTGGCTATACTCTAAGTGCTTAGCCCACGAGCCCTGGCGAGTGGTGCGGATCATGGGCCAGGACGCGCCCCTGGGGTCGCGGGTCGCGAAACTAGGTCACGATTAGTCACAGGTGTCACGATGAATCGCTGATTTGTCAAAAACATTACCACTACCGACTGAAGATGGACGATTCGTCTCAACAATCCGCGAGCGCAGTAACCTTATTTTGACCGTGATGGCACATCCTGACCTTCAGTCTGCTAATGGTGGATATCGAACAAGATTTCACTATACTCCTTCCAGAAAGTTCGTACCACTATACCCTAGTGGGTTTATGGATCTTAAGGGATTTTCTGAGGAGTAATTTCACCTCGACCTTCTCTGTTTTTTAAATGTTACGGTACTTATTTGAGATGGGTTTTCATGTGAAAGGTTCCAATGTCTCATAGCATAACCCACTACGGGCTAAAAGAGGAGGAATCGATCCTGAACAACTTTGGACGCTTCCACCTCGATACAGACCTGCGGGGAATGGGGATGTGATGATATGTCTGTCATTCATGCGTGGTATTTTAGACTTAGAAAAATTACAGAGCGCCAATCAACCTTCCAGGAATTCCTATCACATCCAACAATTAATGGAGCTCGAAAATCGTTTTTTTTTTCAGACCAGTCCGAGGTCGTAACTCTTTCATGCAAACTTTGCAGGAACACGATCAAAATGGCATATAATAAATATTAATATGTAATGAAAATTGCATAATCTTCTCATATTTCGATCCTAGGATGGCAGTTGGTCTACCTTGTTTACAACAGAATCATTTAAAAAATAATATGGCACAATGTAACGCAATAAAGAGCCCCCTCCGCTGCTGTGCCTCTCCTCTATCTCTGGAAGCCAAAAGCCATTTTCCCTATCTACAGCATGCTCGTGCCCCACCAGTTTCGCCAAGGTGCCCTCTGAATACGTTCCTTCACCCATCTTTCGAGGCTTTCAAGATGCTTCTCGTGAGCTTCCTAAATGAGCCCTTTTCATAACTATAGGGTTCTTAGTTTGAGGGTCAGGGTCTGGGGTTTGAGGGTCAAGCAGGGTGTAATTGCTTGCATAAACGCGCTAAGCTAGTAGTTCCCAGAAAGGTATAGCCGTTGTCAATCGCGGACCCAGTACAGTATGCCTGTAGTGTTTATTATCCAGGGTACGACCCTGAGCTCTTGAGGAGCTTTTCCGCCGTCCCTTTCCTTCTAAACGGTCACGAAACGCGTTCCGTCCCACCGATTAACGTTAGCCTCCCCTTTATCTGCACCTTGAATCTTGCCTCTGCTATTGTCAGCCCTGAGATTCAACTACTGGCAGAACCCCTACTTGTCCGGTTACTTTCTCCTGGTATTTTGCGATGGAGTATGCACTCTCTTCAAAGACCATTCCTTCCCACCAGATCTTGTCCTTACAGCTTACACAGGAGCTCATCTCACAGGCTATTTGCTGTGAAGAAGTCATGCATATGATAGCAATAGCGCCTTTAACATGCTGCAAAACGACCACGCACTTTTTCATGATCGTTTTTAAGATTAGCTCTTCAACATCTTCGAATTGCTATTTTACTTCCATGGGGAGGGCGGAGCTTTCCGAGGCCGTTAAAACCCAAAACAACTCATTATCAACTGTCATTTGCATCGTGTAACACGTGTGGGGTCTCATGTGCGGCCTGACAACCTCCACTCAGCGAAACGTCCTAATATATGAGAAACTCAGGTTTTGTTACAGCACTACGAGCCCGCTATGTGAGAGTGAAGGCCGTGGTGAGGGTCACTATCACACATGTGGCGGGAATGTAGGGGGAGGGGGTGGTGGGATGAGATCTCAGCTTGATACCCTCCCAAGCCAAGCAGGCCTTCTACCCCTGTGGGGTCGGTTAATATTAACCAGACTCGTCTGATTTTGAGAGGATAGTTGCACTGTTTCATATACCGTCTGAGCCCCCTCCCCCAGGTCATTGTAGGGGCCAAATACCCATTCAATGAGTCAAAACGATTCTAAATAATTCGAATGTAGGGGCGCATCCCAAAACTGCATTGGACACCCGAGACTTTCTCCCTTGCTTTCGATGTTGGGAATCGGCTTAGAGTATTCCTCCGTGGGTTTTAACGTCAGCAGTTTCGGAGAACAAGAACAATGAAATTTCAGATCTGAAGAGATGTTTAGGCGCATTCTGTCCAAAACGGTTTTAGGAACTCCTTTCAGCGAAATCACTAAAAAGTCACTTCACTGGGTTGTAAAGAAGTTTGCACTTCAACTAGTGTTAGACGAAATAGGCTTCTCGCTTCTCCAGAATAACAAAGCCCATTACCCTATCTGGAAATCTCCAATGTGGAGTTTAATGAAAGGGCAATCGCATTTGCTAATGAAATAGAATACGTTCAGTGAGTTCCTGGGATATCCAGAGCGGGTAACGGGCACTGTTGCTCCGAGTACGCATGAAACCCATCAGGAGCAGGACCAACTGAAACATTCTACGAAATGAAGTGTCTAACAGAGGAAAGTTGGGCTGACAATCTTCCCCCTTACAATCCCACACAACAGGAGTGGGGGAGGGGTAAAAAAGGATCATATCCAGAGTACATTCGGGACATTTACGTGAAGCCGATCCGGGAACCATCAACATCTGGATTTCTTTGAGGTTTTCAAGTGGGCGTAGCCCTTTTATCGTCCGCAAGCTTTAATGGCAATCGCAATTTTCTTAATAACCCNAAACAAGAGGATCGCACGGCTAATCGCTACCCACCTGAATTGATCACTGCTTTATAAAATGTCTGCATCATTGCACAGAAGACCTCTCTTTATCGACTTTGTCACCAGGATTTTCCTAGAATGGGGGAATATCCGAATGAAGTGACTCTTAAATCTTACAGACCCCGCCCGCCCGCAGTACAGCCACGCCCTCAATGTGAAAATGGCAAAAGTGCTTCATGGCTACCAAGACAAGGCAAAAAAGCTTTGGTAGGCTTGAGGAAATGCCACGAATGGACATATTGAAGGACAACTTTGTTTATGTTGCCATTAATGAAGCAAACACCTATAAAATGCATAACTCCATAGATGCTTTGAAGAGCCTCCCATAAGAGTTGCAAGAGGCCTGCTCTAAATAGAAACTTGGAACCAGGTTTTTTGAGCTCCCCTCCTTGAGCCTTTGAGTTCCTCTTAGGCCTTCTTTCCGTTGATATTCAAAAAGCGGCAATTTTTGGAAGGAATTTTCTGGAGTTCGGTCAAATTTAGAGGGGTTCCCTAAGGTCGACAGCTTCTCCCACTTCTTGTACAGGCAGAATATTTAGAGCATCACTACAATTCTAAATGAAGGCAGAATGGGGTAGTAAGGGGGAGAGGGAAAATCATCGATTCATATTAAAATTGTAGTTTTCGGTACGAATTCCAGTGCTACAATATAAAACCATGGCTTTTTTGTGGTTCACCTACGATTTTCGAAAAAAAACCGAAATTTTGCGAGGCCTATTTCGGATGCATTATATAATTTGTTAAATTCGGAAGGAGGGCTCTTCCTTACTCGACTTGGAAACGGATGAATGCAGTTGGTTGGCTTCACAAATAGCTGGAGCCCAGGAAATTGGATGAGTCGCCGCTAATCTTAGCTCTCAGCAGCTACAAATGGTCTCGTCATGTGAGATTGCCTAAGAAGCTCGGATCTTGGAATTCCACTATCAAAGTAGATGAGTTTTGAAGAAACGGATCTTTGCTGCTGCAGAAGCTCCTTCTATACTTTTATAGGCCGAGGCCGGATAGGGCACCCTCTCCATCATAACTAATCCCGTTTTTGGGGTGCGCCCTGCATTCGACCTCCACTCAGAGTCGTAGCGGCGTTTTGAATGCATAGTACAACATACAATGGTCAGCTAATGTTCAAGTCAGTGCTTACATCCTCCTAGACGAGTTTGACATCAACCATACGACCTCGGAAAGGCTCGACTGATTGGTGGTAAACGCCCTGGTAGATGCAATTCCTAACTCAAGTTTGCAGCTCAGACCAGGTTCCACAGGAAAGATTACAGCTCAGACGAGATACTTCAGGAAGTGGGAACTCACAACTCGGAGCTTGAGATATTTCTTGATTTCTGCTCTGTCAGTGTATGCAGGAGATACCTCCCTTCTCGTCTATATTGACTACCCTTACTTCCCTCCCCCTGCAGATCCTCCACCTTTGTCGTTCCCTAGCACGATTCAACATGGGAGTATGGATAGTATGAAAAGCTTTATGGCCACTACGCTTTATGACTTGTGGTAAGGCAAATCCACTGAGCCGTAAGTGAGTGAATCGTGGGAGTAGTAATAGTCGCTTGGTCTTAGAATAACTAATAAAATGTCATCGGTAAGGGAATCAATGCCTTTATCAATCACGAGGAGTTTCGGCCTCTCTCTCAGGC